CGGGAACGCCCTCAGGTGGAACGGGATGGTTTCAAGATGTTATTTTCCCCCCCGGTGTGGACGTGCGCTGAGCCGAGCCGCTCATGCTGTTGCTGCGTTCTTCTTTTTTTCGCTGTTGCTCTTGCTGTTGTTGTTTTGAGGTCGTGGTGGTGAAAGCTGCTGGTGTTCGCTGTCCTGTGCTGATATTTTGTCAACCGCCGCCAGAAGAGAGGTGATGCTCGTCCGCGGACCTTTCCCCCCGCATGGTGATAATGCTAGATTTACCCATGTACCTGAGGCGAGATGGCATACGTACGTGACCATGAGGCTCATCACCATCGCTAGGCAGGCAGCCTACTGAACATAAGATACCTTGAACGAACACGCTCCGCAGCAAGCACGACGCTCGCTGCTTCACCGAAAAACACCCTCCCTCGAGTCCACATCTGGTTGTTCCCTGTTCCGATGGCTGTGAGAGCCCCCCCCCCCCCCGAGCCCGTCGCGTATCCCCCTCAATCGCGTCCCTCCGGCCTCGTCGCTTTGCCTTTGCCAGTCAAAGTGGCACTCCTAGGCCGCTTGACGAAGGAGCCCGTGGCGCACATCAGGAGAAAGCTTACCCATACCATCGGGCAGCTGGCGGAAATCTCATCCGAGACGACGGAGGTAACTGAGTCCCGTAAACAGTTCCTCTTGTAGTGGCATTTTCATGTTTTTCGGGGAGGAAACGACGAAATGACCAATGCGCCACTCTGTGGCGCTATTACCTGATGGCCTGTGTCGCGTTTTTTTTTTTTTTTTAACCAGAGGCGATCAAGACTGCTGCGGTATGAAGACGTACACCAGGAGGTTGCGGTGTTTGTTGTTGGCCGCCCTCCATGATTTTCTTTTCGAGAGCAAAAAATTGGCCGTTCTTTACCCACCAGCTATCCCAGCCCCTAGACCCGTAGGCCGCTTATTCGTCAATGCATTCGCCGGTTGATGTTGCTGCTGATGTTGCTGCTGCGGTTGCTGCTGTTACTGCTGCTGCTGCTGCTGCTGCTGCTGCTGCGCTGTGGTTTGTGTTATCCGACACGGTTGTGCTTCTGCGCGGCACAATAATAACGACAACCACTTTGAACACCAACCCGGTTACCAACAACAACGGCCAACCGTCGACGGCTCCCCACTGTCATAGTGGCCAGAGCTGGTGGCGGTAACGGTGGCGCTCTGCGACGCGACGGAGCAATCCCCGCAGATGAAGGTCGTCGGGCTCGACCTCGTCAACATCCTCGCCGAGTTCTGCCCGGACATGATGGCTCCTCACCGGGCCAACCTGCTTCAGGCACGACATTTTTCTCACCCACACCCCGTTGTCTTGTTGGTGTAGACCTCTGAATTGCCGGCGCCCCGCTTGTTGTTCTGGGTTGTTCAAACCGGTGCGTTGGGGCGAATGAGTCGCGTACCCCAAAGTTCGAGCTTAAGAATTATAAAGTGCGTTGAATGTTCCTTCGTTTTCGTCTTTTCAGTTTTGCCTGCGGCTCGCTTGCCTTCTTCATGACCTGTATTCGAGGTAAGGAAGCCTTCTCCACCCCCCCCCCCCCCCTCCGTTACAAATTCATTGACTCCCTACCCACGAATCCGGTGAACACCGTAATCATCGGAATCATCGCACATGTCGGAGATATCTCACCCAAGTGCAAAAAAACACGGGTTACTAACGATTTAGTTCGATTTTCACACAGGTATCGGAGTCATCGCACATTTCGGAGATATCGTACCCCTATGCAATAGATACCTGAGAACGAAAACGTTTAAAAAGGCGATCGCACGCTGTGCGATGACTCCGATTATTGCGGTACATTGATCCCCTGTCGCCGTGGGTGTCTCCACCCGGATCGCAGCTCAACAACAAGGTATTATACCACGTTTTGCCACCGTGTCGGGCTTTATGTTGCAGATGTTCGAGGCGTGCCTAGACGACGCCAACGTCGGAGTGAGGGACACCGCTCTCAAGGCTGCCTGCTCTTACCTGCCAGGTGTCTACATAAACGTGGTTCGTTTGCTTGCGCGCGCTCGGGCCGGGTGCCCCCCAACCAAATAGTTGTCGGTGGTCGTTGTCCGTGCGGCCTTGAGTTGTAGCTCAAGCTGTTGGCCTTTGTTTTGCTGTTGCTGCTGCTGCTGCTTGTGATTCTTTGGTTTGTCGTCGTGGCTGCGGCACCGTGCTTAGAACCGAGTGTTCTTGTCGGTCATATCTGGCGCAATGCCCCGACCGTCTCTCGCTCCCCTCGCCCCCCCCCCCCCGTGTTTTGATGCGTTCCGAAGGGCCGTCCGCTGTGGCGGCGTCTTCTCTGGTGCCGAAGATGATGTCGGTCTTGGAGGCGAGTTTTGTTTTGTGGTCTCCGTTTGATGGTGGTGATAGCGGTGGTTTTGCTGCTGCTGCTGCTGCTGCTGCTTGTTTGCTCATTTTTTTGTTATTGTGTTCTTCTTCAGCCTCTTGCCTCTGCCATTGTATTCCACGCCGCTTGTTTGCGTTTCAAGTACGTACATGTTTGGGCCCAAACCGAAAAAGGGCCACGCCGTCACGCGTGGGTGGATGCTGGTATTTTTTCCCAGCGCACCGTCAGCATAGCATCTCACCCCCCTCCCCCTGTCCATCAACATCAACGTCCACAAACCAATAGGCGACCGTCAACAGCGCAGGCGAGGGCGTGGCAGGAGACGTGCTCGAGGCGCTCAACGTAGTCGCGGCCAACCAGCCCCTGATGCTCATAGGCGACCCTCAAAGCCTTGACGTGGTGGGATCCGCCATGCTCTCCCTTGCCGCCAGCCCCACCCTGGAGGTAAGCGAGCCCTGCAGGTACCTACTTTCCCCCCGTGGTGTGTTTGCAAGGGGCGCAAGCTGCCCTCTCTCCTGAATTACTCGGAGCTGGGGTGGTGTGGCCGCAAGAGGTAGATGTCGACGGGTTGATTGAGTGCGTAGACATGCGCGTACACCTCGGCGGACACAGCACGCCAGCAACCCCCTTACATGGCATCATTTTCCCGTGTTATTTTTTGTTGAATACTTGCCAGGATTCCACGAGGGAGCTGTCGCTTGAGGTCATCACGGGATTGTGCGAAAGCGCTCCTTCCGTCTTCCGTGAAGGCGGAGGGGGGATCGTTGGTGCCGTCGTACCGCTCACCATGAACATGGTGGCACGGCATCCCAAAGGTAATACATCAGACCTGACAGCCCCGTTGTTGTCTTGGCTGTTTATCGGGTTGGTCGCCGCCAGCACTGCCAGCACATAGGCGGTGACGTCACTGCCAGGCTCCTGGGCCCTTTTCTCGCTTTCTCAAGTGTCTATCATTTATCGATGCACCCCCGCTTGATTGTCCTGTATTTTTTTTCCCCGGCAAACAGAAGGAGGGATAGGCCGCCTTACCTTGTTCCTCGATCTCTGGCATTGGCTATGGTTAAGTCTGTTCGCTCGCTGTGCTTCTCTACTCACAAAACGTTCATCAATCTGGTCGATGTGCGTGCTTCTCTGCGCGCGAAACTTTCCCGCCGTGTCGTGTTGGTTGGCAGGCGACGAAAGTGAAGAGGAGCTGGTGGCTTGGCTTTCCACGGCGGGAGGGAGCGAAGACGACATGAACGGCCACTTGGACGGGGATGGCCTCTGCAATATATTCGCGAACGCCCTTCACAGGTCAGTTTGTTGTTCGTTGCTGCTGCTGCTGTTGTTTTTGTTGTTGTTGTTTTAGTGTTTGGTACCGGCGTTTTTGTCGTTTCCGCTCAGGGTTGTTACGTTCCAGCGAATGGTTTCGTAGGTGGTGCCTTATTTGTTTTTGGCCGTGCGTTCGTCGAGGTGTACATGGTCAGATCAGATGAATAGACTTTGCTTTCGTTTTTTTTGTTTTTGTCTGGCCCACGGGGGACGAATTTTTCACAGAGGTGATGCAACAGCGTATTGTACTCTCTGTAGCATCAACAGACCCGACCTCAACATCAAAGGGCGAAAGAACTGCCCCCAATTCATCGCCCCCTTGCCATCGGGGTTGGGTTTTCGTCGCTTGGCAACGACGTTGTAAAACAAGCCGCCCCCCCCGGTGCTTGCCATCGGGGTTTGGGTTTTCGTCGCTTGGCAACGACGTTGTGAAACAAGCCCCCCACTCGGTGTTTGCCATCGGGATTGGGTTTTCGTCGATTGGCAACGACGTTGTAAAACAAGCCAATTCACTTCGTGAACTCGGCAACCAGGTTACCGTATTTTTTTTTTACCTCTGGTTTTTTTTTTGGCGGTAACCATAATGGTGGTCGAGTAGATCATGTTGTGCGGGGTCGAGAAACCTCACTCCGCGCAACGGGGGATGATCGCACCACGTTGTGTTAAAATGGTCAAGCTTCCTCGAGGCAGTTACACAGTGCTTACAACTATCTCTGGAAGTGAAAGCACCAGAAAATAAATTAAGTCATACGTAGCTGTCATCCGTACGCAAGGAAGTAAGCAGAAGATGCCGAACACCCTTAGCAGGATGCAGCTCACCCTTCATGCGACTCGCCAAATACCTCACGGCGCTTCGCGCTTGGTGATGTGAGAGCCTGGTCCGGTGAGAACCCGGCGTGCTCCGTCCCGGCTTTGTAGGGATGCGAGGTCAATGGTCAAACGACTACGGCATGCACGACTATGAGTACACCCCCCCCCCCCCTTGGGGCGTACAGGGAGATGTTTGAGGCATGGAATAAAAAGCAGAAGGCGGTAGCTGTACTGGGGAGTAGGAAGTGGTTTGAAAAGGCGGGAAGGGATATCGTTAGGATAGACAGATTAGGGAAGACATTTTTGAAGGACCTTTGGCAAAGTAGGAAGGAACGATTGGCCATCGGTGATCGGTCCTGTGGGAACAATGCTCCGTCCTCTCGAGGACGCGTGGTCAATGGTCTAACCGCTAAGGCATGCAAAACATAAGAGTACGCCCCCCCCCCCCCCCCCCTTGTTTTCTGACCCCCCCTTGCCGCCTTCTCGAACAACAAAGGGGTCTCCAACGCGTTGGGCGGTCAGGCCATGCTCTCTTCTGTCATGCCGATGTGCTCGGAGTTCGTGCAAGACATCTCCAGCTGGCGCCGTCGAAAGGCCGGCTTGCTCTCTCTGTTTCTCATCGGCGAGGTGCGCTTTAAAATAAAATAAATTTTTTGTTTTTCCACTCACCATGTCCGATACAGACTCGAGTGGGCGTGTAGCCCCCATTCGTTATTTTCGTTCACAAAGACACGAAGATAGCTCTGGTTAGCGTCTATGGTTTGTGGCCGTTAAACTGTGAAAGGTGTGGATGACGTTTATTTGCTGCAACTTTGTTGGCAGGGGTCTGGCGAGGACCTCGCGGGCAGCGGGATCCTCCCAGAAATCGTTCTGGGACCGGTTCTGGCGGGGATGCAGGACGAACATCCCCGGGTGCGGAACGCGGCGCTGTCTTGCGCGGAGCACATCTTGGAGTACCCCGCCCCAGATGAAGGGTCGTTCCAGGAGGCGTTTCGCGGCGAGGTGAAAGCTTTGAGACTACATACTGTAGCCAGGAGACCAACTACGGTATCGTCCACACTCAACAGAGACCGGACTTCTGTTGTGGAAGTATGGTAGGCATTCCACATAGCAGGGACGTAGTTTTGGTCCAGTCGAGTAGACGTTTGTTCGGATTAAATTTTCGGTGTTGTGGGTGGCGGCGTTATCGATGATGGTGGTTGGCATTGTTCCCGGAATCATCCTGGTCCCGGTGAACCGTGTTCTCACGGAGGTCAGTCCAACCAGATCCGGGACCTTGCGTACTGGGGAGGCAGACGCGAAAGGACGTGAGCTGATGATGACTTCACCCAGCGGACAGGGGTGTGCATTTTCCGAGATATGTGCTGATTTTTTTTCCAAAGTCTACGCAGACCTTCCTCCTCCCAAGCAGCATGGCATGTATGCCCACAGATGGCTCGGGAACTTAACCTACAACTCCCCCCCCCTCCCCTCCCTTATTTGGTGGCTTCCATGCCCACCGCCAAGCTCTTGCCCGTCCTGGTGGAAAGCTTGGGCGGCCCCAACGCGAACATGCCGCGCCTCCAGGCCGCCGCGGCCAGCGCGATCACAACCTTCTGTGACCCGGAGAGGCTGCGCGCAGAGTGGCTGGACGAACCCGCCGGCCCCCCCGGCAGCAGGCTTGGCCAGGAGGCCGTCGGGCTCGTGCTGCTGCGGTCGCTGGAGGGGCTCGTGCCTCCTTCTGGGTCGTCGTGTGTTGCGGTCAGGGAGGAGGCGTGGGCGGCGTTGGGGGTAGTCTGCCAGGTGTGTGTGTCGAGGGGGGGAGTTGTAGTGAGCCGTGCTTGTTTTCCCGGTGTTCCACGTTGGTGGTTGTGGTGCTAACGCTTAGCGCTGAGCCTGAAGCCTAGCGGGAGGGGGGTGTTGACGGCGGTGTGGGTAGTGTGGGCTTGGTGGGGTGCGGTGCTACCCCCTCAGGGGGTTTCGCCTCAGGGGGTTTCCCCTCAGGGGAGTTTCCCCTCAGGGGAGTTAGAGGATGGTTCCTGATGCGGTGGTCAAATTATTTCGTGTGGATGCGCGTGGGCGTCTGTAATGGGCTTGCGCGTGCTCAAGATCCTGTGCTCTTGAACTCTTGAAAGGTTTGTCTCCAAAAATCTTGTTGGGTTCCGGATAATGACGTCTTCGCCAACTATGTCGCCCACAGAAGGTCCAGCTACGGACAGCACCGGGACAAGTCCCCGGGTGTGCAGTTATGCACGCCCAACAGTGCTACCAACAACAAAGCCCCCCCCCCCCCCAACATACACACCATATTTGTGTTCCAGGTATTGGGTCCCGAGTTCGGGTCCTTCTACGGCACCTTCGTGCCGCTTGCCAAGGAGATTATCTTCGCCGGGGCCACTCCAACGGGACCGGCGGCAGCTGCGGCGGCGACGCCGTCGGAGGATATGGATGCTGTGCGCGGCAAGGCGGTGGAGGCGATAGCGCTGATGGGGCAGGCAGTCGGTCTGGATTTGTTCCGGGAAGACGCGCACCAGGTGAGGTCGGTTTTGCCGGGGGGAAGGGGGGGGGTTGCGGGGGGTGCAGTCGGCAAATTCCGCGCACCCTTTTGGTCAGTGACACATGGTGCATCGAGCACCGTGTACGCGATGGTGATGAGACGCTGATATGGTGTCTTTGCGTTTGGATGGTTTGTTGGCATGGCCGGCGTCTTGTCCTGCTGAGCTTGTTGCGCACTTTCGAAGCTGTTGGCAATTGAATGTTAAGTGTCCCCAAGTCTCGTGGAATATTGTTCTGGAAGCCCCTTGGGGATTGTTTTTCATCTACCGGCCTCTTCGTTGCTCCGCCTGTTTCGGACTAATTCAGGACAGGCCAACTTCAGCTGGGCACGGTGGTGTCGGATCGGCTCTTTAACGTTTCTGTTTCGCCTGAAACTGCCACGACGAATGTGCAATGCCGCCTTCATCTGCTAAGAAGATCCGGTCCCCCGTGGACGACCCGCGACCGAGTTATGTTGACTTTAGCTCGCGCACTTGCGCTGTTTTCCTCGTTGTGTTGCTTATTTCACGACAATGCCACCCTGGTCGCAGGTGATCCGGCTCCTCCTGAACGAGCAGAAGAAGACGGTCGAAAGGGACCCAGCCAATCCTCAGTCCACGTACACCTTCCAGGTAAAGATGCCTCAATCCTCAAACGTCTCCGGATAACATGGGCGGAAGATAGATAGGTAGGTAGGCAAACGGTAGAGGCACGCTACCCACCCTTCCCTTCCACCCCACAATGTTCTCGTCGGTTTCGATGCCGCTAAATCATCGTTGCCCCTATTGTACCTGTATCTCCCAAAAAGGACTAAAATAATCCCTGCTTTCTCGAGGGAGTATTGTAGGCGGTCTGAGGAGAGTCTATAACAGTGCAACAACAGCACATTCATCCCTCACGCCCGTCCGTCGTCCCAAATCCTTCCCACCTGCTCCAATCTCCTCCGTGTGGAGGAACATAGCAAATACACACCGCAACCAACTCACGACAAACCGCCGTTGTTGTCAGGCGCTCGCGCGGATGGCCGGCGTCCTCGGCGAAGAATTCCTCCCGTACCTCTCCGAGGCGGTAACCCCGCTCCTCGCGGCCCTCTCCACGGCGGCTGAAATGAAGCTGTCCGACGCCCCCGACGCTGACGCGGCCACCCTAGAGTTCGAAGACGCGGGCCTGACCGCCATGACGATGGACCTCCGGGGCGCTGGGCCGCAGGTGTTCGGGGTCAACAACTCCCTCATGCAGGCCAAGGAATCGGCGTGCAAGGCCCTCTACCAGTACACGGAGGACCTGGGCGAGGGGTTCGCGCCCCACGCGGCGGCGACCATGTCCGTCGTCCTGCCCAACCTGGGACCCCAAAATCCGGTTGCGGTGCAAGTCGTTAGCGCCGCACTCGTGCCGAGGCTGGTGGGGCTTGCCGCCCGCCGCGCGGAAGCTGCGACGGCTGCAGGCGGAGGCGGAGGCGGCGGTGCCGTTGAGTGGGCATGCGAGGCGCAGGCCATGCTCGACGCTTCGGTAGACGCGCTGACGGAGATGGTGTCGAGGCTCGGCGGCGAAAGCGGCGGCGGTGGCGGCGGCGGCGGCCTCGGCGGTGGGAGCGCGCAGCAGGAGGAGCTGTTCGAAAAGGGGGACCAGGAGCCCGCCTGCGTGGTGGCCGACTCGCTCTCGAACCTGCTCGAGGGACGCTGCAGCGACGGCGGCGACGGAGCGGCGGGAGTCTTGAGAGTCTCGGACGAGAGACTGTTGAGCACGGTAACCGTGCTGAGAGATGTAGCGGCGGCCTCGATCCGGCGAACAAGGTCGCTGTTAGCGGCGACGGCGGCAGCGGCGGCGGTGTCGGCCGGGGGGCTGGGGGGAGTGACCGGTGCCGAGGAGGCCGCGGAACTCGCGGAGCTCGAGGAGGGGGAGGAGGAGATGCTCGTTTCCGTGGCGGACGCGACCGGGTGGATGATTAGGGGGAGGAAGGCGGCGTTCCTGCCGACGTTCGAGGCGGTCCTGAGGCCACTCGTGCTCCCGCTCCTGGACTCTACCGCGGCCGCCGCTGCCGCGCTTCCCTCGTCACACCGCTCGTTCGCGCTGAGCATAGCGATCGACGTGCTGGAGCTCGCCGGGGAGGGAGGGCGGAGAGCCGTGTTTCCGGAGCCGCTGCTGCCGGCGCTGCTGCAGGGGTGCCGGGAGGACGAGCTGGCGGCATCGGCGAGACAAGTGTGAGTAGACGCCCTCTTTTTTATCGAAGGCGATCGTGGCGTAGACATCGATGTTGTTTTTTGAAGTAGGAGGTGATCTCCCCCTAAAAAAACACGGAACAGGCAAGATGAAATGCAAAGAGGAAATGACAAGATGTTTTCGAGAAATCAGTCCCATACAGCCGCGATCCCAGGTGGTCTAGGTGGTATCCACGCAACGTACCAATGCGCCAGGTCATGGGTTCGAGTCCCGACGAAGCGAGTTTTTTCATGCTGTCGTTCCTGGGACACTGAAAATGATGACTCGTTCTTAAATAAATGCTTCGACTTCATTGTTAACGGGGTGGGGAGGGCTGGACCCTGCTCGGAAAAAAACATTGCAAGGCAGAGACAGCAGGAGAGGGTGTCCCACCTACCCCGTCCGTTGTGACCCCGGATGGATCGTCTAGCTATTATAGTCGCAGTGACGAGGAGGAGGCACGCGACGAAAAACCAATAACGAGAGAAAATATAATACTTCTGTAAAAAAAAATGAATACGAACGTTAAATCAATAACATAAGTTTCTCGAGATTCTACCGAAAAATGGTTTTCCATGACGCACCCGACCTCAAGGATTTTGACGAATTTTCGCACAAACACAACTACCCCCCGGCAGAACTTTATTGCAACAGAAGGCACATCTGTCCAAACTCGAGTTTTGATCCACCACAACCAGTATGCAGCAAGTGTTGTGATGACGTTCGGGTCCCTCGCCCTCCGTTAGGTGCGCGTACGGGCTGGGGGTGGCAGCGGACTTCGGAGGCCCAGAGTTCGATCCTCACAGCGCGGAGGCCCTACGGCTCCTCCTTGCCCTCGTCGCCCAGGGTCGAGGGGGCAGCACCGCCGGCCCAGCCCAAGAAGAAGACGAAGAAGAAGACGACGAAGGCGACGAAGACGGCGAAGACGACGAAGAAAACGAAGACGACGAAGACGACGACCGGTGGGAGAACGGCGCGCTGACAGACAACGCCATCTCCGCGGCCTTCCGGGTGCTGTTCGCCCGCCCGGGCCCCGTGGACGCCGCCTTCGCCGCCGTGCCCATGTCCGGGTTCGTGGGCTCCCTCCTGGACGCGCTGCCGATCGTCGTGGATGTGGAGGAGGCACACGTGTGCCACCGGAGGGTCGTGGACCACGCTCTCAGCCGCCACGAACTGTTTTTCGGCGGCGGCGTTGGGGGGGGTGATTCTAGCGGAGCGGCCGTCTATGCGGCGGTGGTGGTGCCGAAGCTCATGGCCGCCTTGGCTGGGATGGTGCGGTACCAGCCGAGCCCGGAAGAGGGAACTGCCGCGGCAGCGGCGGCGGCAGGGGGTGGCTTGCTCCCGTCTTACGGTCGTAGCGGTGGTGGCTACGGCGCAGGAGACCCCGAGGAGGAGCTGTGGGCGCGGCAGCTCGTAGACAAGGAGACCCGACAGAAGGCGGAGGAGGTGCTGGTGCGGATCGAAGGCGAGTACCCCAAGGTTTTCGAGGAGGCGTGGGCGGGGCTCGGGGAGGAGAGTCGGCGAGCGCTGCAGACGACAACGGCGGAGATTTGCGCCCGGTGATGGTGGCGCAGACCGGGCGGGTTGCTTTTGGGTGGCCTTCCCTTGGGTGGCGGGTGTAGTTCCTTGCGTCGCATAACCGTTGCACCCGCTGCAGCGCTGCGTGGTTTCGGCCATGCGTCAGTTTCTCCTAGCGGATTGGTAAGAGGGTTTCCTTCTCTAGTTTTTGTTTCACCCGAAAAGCAGTCTAGCGGGGCCTCGTCACTCTTTTTTTCAAGTGCCGCACATGTTTTTCCGCAACGCAGTTTCAGGGGGAACCGGGCAGGCGTGGCTACAACTGGGTAACGAAAGACAGCCGGGGGACTTGCTTTACATAGCAAGCTACGTCGGCGGGGAGCGGGTATCTGTTGCACCGTTTTCCTTGAAGTAGGGGCCAGGAATGCGCGTGCTTACGTTTTCGGTGGAAGGTAAGTTGCTTTGTGATCTCTCAAGTACAAACATACCTGTTTTATCTCTCTGCTCTTTTTTGTCCCGAAAACGGACGGCAGTGACAAAAAAAATTTTGATTGTCCCCACACCGGCAGTGGCACGTACGTCGGGAATATTATATACATCTTCTCAATTTACTATTCGCAGAAAATCGTCGACCGTCGGGCGCATTTGACTTGAAAAAAGAGTTGCCCGGCGCATATTTTTCTCCCTTTTGTTTTGGTTGTTTCTGAAGCCGTAAAAGGCATCCAACCTACACGAACATGCATGTGTGGCCTACGTAACTACAGCACAGCAATACTACGCCACATGTACGGATTCGTGTTTACGTACTAGGGTATATGCGCTGCCAGTGAGCGCGTTGTTCTGTCGTTGTACATGCACGCCTACATGTCGGTGTCTTCACGTCATGCGCACATGATGAGGAGTCCGTCCCCGCTTCCATTCTCAAGCCTGAAACGATGAGCAAAAAAAGCCAGCTTGGGACTACACTGCTGTAGCAACGCCGACGATGATTTTCGTCGGCTTGCTTTCAACAATGTAGACAATATGTTGTTGTTGTTGTTGTTGTCTTCACATTATAAAACCCGTTCGGTCTCCGCTCAGTACCTTCTAATGTGGTCCGTAGTGGTCCAACTGACACGGACGCTGTGCGTGGTCACAAGCTAACCACCCAACAAGGGGGTACACCTTTCTACAATAAAAATACATTAGAATGGACACCAGAAAATCTCTCCAAGGCACGATATGTCTTCTACCTTGTTCTGTGTAGTACCCAAATGAAAAGAAAAACCTAAGGCATAATAACTGGGATACAGACGATCGACCCCGGCCAAATAGGGATGAAAGAATGAAAGACAAGGAAAGAAAGAAAAGAAAGGAAAGAGAGAGAAAGGCAGACAACACGGAACAGATATATATATATGGCGATACGTCCGACTGGTATTATTATTCCTGCTATCGTCTATCTTCAGTCCGGGACGCATCTCTTTATCCGTTCAGCCATCCCCGTCCTGCTCTCTTCGGCTGCCGTGGTGTCTTCTGTCTTTCGACGTTTCCCCTTCCGGTGTTACCTTCCCCCCTCTGCTCTGCAGTCCTTTTTTTGGTCTGTTGGTCTGTCCGGTGTTTTTCTTGTTTCGTTCTAGCGCGTACAACACTTTTAGCTTCTCTTTCTCCTTGTGCCAATTGACCATGAACTCCATCACCCCTTTGTACCATGGCACCCCGTTCTCCACCTTGGCAGCGATAGGCCAGCAGTCATGCCGTATCCCGAACGTCCTCAGGTCGTCAGCCGTGGATTCAGCATTGGCACCGAACTCTACGAAGTCGTCCTTCATGCGTAGACTAAACACCCAATTATTTTTTTCCGGACGCCCGCTGTCTGGGTCCTCCCCATGATCTATCCCCATGATCTATCTCCGAACATCAATCGCTTCGGGGGTCGCCCGTCCGGTTGTCTGGCCAATGCTCCAGCAAACAGCAGTAGCTCTTTCTTTGTCGAACAGTAAGTAGTATAGCCTCCACGCTTTGGCATCCAACCTTTTCTTTCAGGGCTTGGGCGTACGAGAGCTGCCAATATTTGCCGCGCGTGCGGCGGTGGGAGCCGATAACCCGTAGCAGAAGACGGTGTGGTGCGTAGTTGTCAGTAATGTCGTAGTGCTTACGGTGCGGGGTCCACGTCATGCATCCGTACAGCAGGGCCTCTATCGCTTCCGCTTCTTTAGTCCCCACCGTGCCGTCGGCCTGTCGAAGAAAGAAGAAGAAGAGCTCCCGGGCGTACTTCCGGGAGACAAGCCCACGCCGCTCTTCTCCGTTGCTGTTGGTTGATCTCCAGCGTGAGTTCCGGCATCTTCTCTGACCCGGCGACCCAGATATCGGAACTCCACTGTCTGGGCATACTTCTGTCCCGCTGCTTCGATCACCAGCGGTGCCGTAGGTGGCATGTATCCCCGCGTATCATCATTATTACTTTGACGCCTCCAAGGCCGTACATGCATTCATTCATTGTTGTTTTCAGGGTGATGTGAAATCTGAGTCTCGGCACAAGTCAAAACCATCTATCCCCGTGTATCACTATTTATTTACACAAGGAAGGGCCGGCATGCCTTGTTTGTCGTCAGGGAGGAATAGTGGAATCTGTTGTAGTCTCCCTCAAAGACACGGCACAGATGGACTACTACTGCTGTATCTACCTCTACTCAGCTCGCTCTTTTTTCTTTCCCGCCCCAAACACCGTTCGTTTTGTTTTGTTTTCACCTCTGTTTTTTTTTTTGCGGTAACCATAATAATGGTGGTCGAGTAGATCATGTTGTGCGGGGTTGAGAAGCCTCACTCCGCGCAAGGGGGATGATCGCACCACGTTGTGTTAAAAAGGTAACGCATCCTCGAGGCAGTTACACAGCAGTGCTTATAACTGTCTCTGGAAGTGAAAGCACCAGAAAATAAATTAAGTCATACGCAGCTGTCATCCGTACGCAAGGAAGTAAGCACAACAAGATGCCGAACATCCTTAGCAGGATGCAGCTCACCCTTCATGCGACTCGCCGAATACCTCACGACACTTCGCGCTTGGATGTGAGAGCCTGGCCCGGTGAAAACCCGGCGTGCTCCGTCCCGGCTTACCGACTACGGCATGCACGACTATGAGTACACCCCACACACACCCCCCACAGCAGTAGATAGATAGTTCTTCCGCTCTGCAATTATCCTCCGGTCCGTTGCGTTCCTCATCATGTCACTACCACCAGCATGCCCCTTGTCCTTCTTCGGGACACGAGTGGCAACCACAGATATTTGCAACACCTTTTTGCCAGAGAGGCGGCGTCGGGAATATTCCTGGTTTCAGGTTTCACACATACATACATACATGGTGTGGTTGCAGGTATAAAACCAGGTAGCACACAGACGGGAAGGGGGGCAAGGGGGCACCGGCGCACCGGTTAGGTGCTGGACAATGCAGAGCAGCCAGCAGCAGATGAAAACACCAGTTCTGATGTGCAAGTGACTTGAAGCACGACGCGACTCACACATCAAGGTTTGCTTTCACCAGAGGGTGATTTGCGTTCTGCTTCTTCCCCTAGCTTCTCTTCAAGGTGAGTGAGAGCCTACGTATGCATATGTATCACTATCTGTTCTGGCTTCATGCTCTGTCTACTACGCTGTAAAATCGAAATAAGAAATGCGGACCAATAGAAAATACTCAATCAAGTTCTTGCCTGTGCAACGCGATGCCACAGTAAGTTATGTGTTGTTGTGCATTCCTTGATTTGGTGCGACGCGAGTGGAAGAGCTGGCAGGGTATTGTGCTAGAGGGGGAGAGCTGGGCCTTCTTTGCTTGCCTGACAAAAGGAGATCGGGAAACTCGGGTTCATGTGTTCTTGTGTTCATGTGTTCACACGGGCATTATTGCGGAGGAACCCCCGCTGCTCCCGCCTCGCACCTTGTCCTGCTGTCATCATTTTGCATCGGATGCTGGTGAGAGTATTTCGTGGTTGTTGTTCGCCGAATTGCTGACATTATCTGATGATATGCACACATGGGCCTCTATTTATTGTTTGTTAATGAAAGGGCCGTTGTTATCGATCCAAGAAACAAGGGAGGGAGCAAAATAACCCGATCCGTTTAGAGGGTGAGGTGGAAAAGCTTTTTGCGGAAAAAAGTACCTGCTACCACACAGCTGCAGCTCAGTGTTGAGTTGGTGGGCACCAGTGTGATTTGCAGAGAGGGGGGGCGGGTGGTGCTCATCATCATCAGCCAGAGAGGGGGGGGGTGGTGTTCATCATCAGCTAGAGAGAGGGCGGGGTGTTATTGTTGGCTGCTGACTAGTGGTGTAGTGGTCATCGTGCTTCTCAATAAAAGTTAATGCCCATGTCCGGTCTGGCTTTGCAGCCACGAACACGTCCCCCCAGGGATACCATCCCTGTGATCAGCGCTGTCTTGCCGCCCTCAAGTGATGCCCGTGGCACGATAGTCTGCTCGTCGCAGCGCCCGGGCTCCCATCGCCAGTACGCCTCCTCCCTCATGTTATTCGAGGCTGACGCTGAACCGAACACTGTTTCCGCTTCCGTGAAAGCTTTGGTCCCAGTCTCTGCTTCTTCCTTTTCTTCACGGATGCCTGGCGACTGCTTGCTGCCAGTGGCAACGAACCCACTGTTGTGAATCGTTAGTTTAGGTGTATCCTGCACCTGTTTGTGATCGGCACCGAGCTCATCTAACATCGCTACTGCAGGCGCAATCGGCACCTGCTTGGTGATAGCAGCGATATCCTCGTTACTCTCTGCTGCAGGCGCCATCAGCACCACCTGCTCATCACCGGCGACGCGCTCCGCTGGCTGCGACGTAACAGGCATCTCCGGCACCTGTATTTCTTCAGCAGCGCGCTCCTCTGGCAGCGCTGCAGCAGGTTTCTTTTGCGCGGCGTGGTCGTTTCCTGCGTGGAATGTGCCTGTTCCTTGGCATCTTCCTTGGCATCCTCTGCATCATGCGAACTGTGGAGCGGGCAATCGTACCACCCGTGCTCGGTGGAGTTGCGGCTGTACCTGCATCTGCCACGGTGGTTTCGGCCGGTATCCGGA